GAAGTAAAAGCAATTAAATACAAGGAAATGCCTGAAAATATACCTTCAACAAAACGTCCGTACTGTGATGGAAATATTTAAATACGGCATCGCGCAAAGGGGCTTTAAGTTCAATACTCTTTAACAATCTTGATGTTCGAGGGTGAGTCAGCCTCTTCTCGGAAAGAGAATTCAATTTTTCTTTAAAGAGGATGAGGGGGTTTCTACTAAACCCCTGCAGCCAAAGCGGAAAAACAATTAGAGCTACACGCTTTGTCTAGAGATACTGTTGTGCACCGTCTATTCTACCTTCTGATTAAAGTAATTTTGTGCTCCTTTAAACAGAATGAATCCTCTTTTTTTTTCTAAAAAACCCGGAAAGGGCTCTCTTGCATTTTTACTCCCCAGAAGTATTTGCTTGTGAGGGGGAAGACGGATCGTGTAGCGAAATCAATTCAACATCGTGCAACCAACACACGAGCCTGCTGCTGTTGTTTTTTTTTTTATTGAACAGAAATCCCATAACAAATACGGAGTCACATCAGTTTCAGAATCGTGGTTTAAGATTCGCACAGCGCGATTCAAATCTGTTTCTGTGACGGTGGGCCGAAATGTTTTGTTACATTTGTCAGCACCAAACATCTTAGAAATGCAGGTACCGGTATTAAACTGACGACCAAATGGTGAGGAACGTTAAACTGCCACCTGCGCCGTCGTGTACCTACATTAAATTAGCTGAGGGATTATGCACACCTAAATTGTATTGTCATAGCACGGTGCCCTGGAGGACCATCAGTGGAGCGCTGTACATTAATAATCCCCTGTGAATTATTCACAGGTGTAAAACTGGAAGCCCGCGAGGTTACCACGGGGTCGCGGATACTGTAACACCAGACTGCGCCGCGGCTCCAAACCTGCTTTTCTGCTGCGCGCCCGGCCATCTGTCAGCGCTTGATAGCGGTTAACGCACAACCCTTTCGCTGTGCTTGTGGGCTGTGGGGTCGGTCCCCACAGTGGCGTCTTCAAGGCGGTTTACAATCTGCGCCCTTCGCCCAGTCGCGGAGAGGAAGGTCAGTTAGTGACAGAGAAGCTGACTGGAGACGGGGAGAAGACATCCCGTGCCGGCCGGCACCGGGACCTTCTGTTTGTCACTGCGGCGATGTCAGCCACAGCCTGTATGATTGAATTGAAAGGAGCGAGGGAACAGTTATGTCAGAGAGAGGGGCCCAGCAGCCTTTCTCAGAGGAGTTCACACGTTCTCCTGTGCCATGGCCTCTCACCAGGGCCCAGGCTGTGTGCTGCACAGCCTGATCTTGTATTAGAAGTGTACCTCCGCAGGCAGCCAGGCCTACAGGACCCCGGTCCGTTCAGTTTTACAGTTCAGCTGCCCCAGAGATTTGCACTGGTGAATTATTGATTTAACAGAACTGTAAGTGGTGGTGGTGCACCAGTCCCTATGAACCAGAGTTTCCAGTCTCTTGTCCCAGGATGATGTCTGGTGACATTGTAATGTAGTAGGTGTCAATGGTCAGGGGAAATGCTAAGTTTAGTATAGCGTCCTAAAGTGCTTCTACCTTCTCCTGTGGAAATCTTTCTGGTAATATTTAATTTATCTGTGGGGAAGAATTCCACATACAAATAATTCTATTTTGTTCCTCATTTAAGCACACAACCCGAATATTACTTCACAGTAATGTTCTGGATAGATGGTGTGCAGCGTTATGTTGTAGAGTTTTTATACAGAATATTTTCCAAGCAGTCATTAAAACTACACATTGGAGCCGTCATGACACCGTTGGCACGCCTTGCTGACGCGAGATGCAATGTTTCTCTCTGGAAGCGTTTCTTCTTGTTAAGGTTTATAAAGCCTCTTTCTTCTTTTTTTTCTTCAGCTGCTTTGACATTTTCAATCGATGCACTGAAAAGATAGAAACCGTCGCACGGCCTTGCTTCCAGCACGATAAAGCAGCTGTGAGATTCCGCTGCAGTGGTTAAGTCGGCGGTAAATTGTTGAGCAGTTATCAGGTACCGCAAACGAAAGGGGCTTTGATCCTGAAGTCGCAGCTTGCTGCTGCCACCTAGCGTGATAAAAATAAACTGCTCTTCGTACGCAGCCCGGCGCTCACGAATTTATCGTCATTGGGAACAAGTAATAGGTTTTTTCCATACTGAAAAGAGAAGACAAAAAACACAACGTTTCGGCCGTGGAGCCTTCTTTATTATCATTAACTTGGTTCCGCGTTTTTTTAGAACGGCGTTGCTTTATCCTAGCTTGTTAAAGCAACGTTCTAGCAAGGCAATATTGGAAGTAAAAACAATCGTTTGATGCCTTGCTCTCGTGTTTCCATAAACCTCCACGTGCCAGCCAGTTTCTGCAGGATGACGAGAATCCCGTTTAAGTGGTCGACAGATGTGATGACGTCATGCGGCGAAATCAAGCTCTTTTCGTTCCAGAGCTCTCAGTTACACAACCTACCGCCGACGCAGCTGACCGGACAAAACATCTGGACGTCCAAGCGCTAGCATACGGAGACCAGCCTGTGGAGGAGCAATAGTGGCGACGCCTAGCTTCCAGATGTTACAGTGCGCAACCACAGCAGTAATGAGTTTTATGCCACATTTTGGTTTCGCACTCTTCATAAATGTGCTGCAAACGCCCTGCTTAGGGCGGTTCTGCCAAAGTTAAGAGAGACACGAAGGAAGCTTGTTGTGTATCATGAATGTCAGGCAGCAGCAATGCAGCAGTAAATCCTCATTTTGATTGCTGTGTGAACAGCGCACCGTTTTACAGAACAGATATTACTGCTCTGGACCAGGGGGGGTGGCCTGGTACGACTTCTCCTGGCTTGAAGGAATGTACTACACCCACAGGCTTTTATTGAATCAGTGTCCGTGCCTGCTCCATTTTCTAATGGGCATTGATCTTCTGCTGCATCTCTTACTGCTGGTGTTTCTTGTATGTGCTTATTTTATCATTTGTTATCCTTGTAACTGATTTATTTGAACCATTTTACATCTGTTAAGCACTGTGAAATGCTACTTTTAAAGGCGGTGTATAAAATAAAGTTTTTATTGGTGTTGTTATTATTCGAAGGCCCGACAGCTGTGGACGGAGTTACAGAATAGCGCAGGAAGTACGCGTGACAACTCCAGAACTGGAGTGTAAAATTGAAGCCGCTCGTCCGAGATACGTTCATCACCGACATGTTTTTTTTCCTTCTTTTTTCCTCCCACGCCAGTCTCACAGAAGCACGTTTTTCTCTTTGTCAGTCTTTGACGGAAAGGATATGTAAGCACCACCTGCTGGTGGTTGGTACCAGTGTAGTTTTTAGCCTATTTCCTTTTGAAATGCCGAATTCCAGTTCCTTCCCGTTTAAAAGCCCAATACTGCCACCTCGTGGAATTGACTGGAAAGAAGAGGGAGAAACAATATCTTCCCTCAAATACCCCATGAAACCACGTTTACTGTAAAGCCGGATAACACCAATACTCGAAATCCCTTGACAAACTGTATATTCAGTTTTACAATTGGAATAATTTAACATAATATCATCACTTTACTAGCCATATACAATGTCGTGCATTAGGAATTTGTGTTTTCGGATACCCCAGGGTGCTCTCCTTGAGACCCACAGACAGGGAGAGAAGCATGGGGTCAGAGCGCAGGGTCTGCTATTGTACGGCGCCCCTGGAGTAGTTGGGGTTAAGGGCCTTGCTCGGGAGCCCAACGGAGTAGGACCCCTCTGCGGGATTTGAACCAGCAACCTTCCAGCCACAGGTGCAAATCCTTAGCCACAGAGCCACCGGAGCCCATTTCCTCGAACTTAATGAAGACAAAACAGAAATTCATATTATTCGCACAACTAGTAATAGAAAAAATATGAACAAATTTAGGAAGTTTGGATCCACAGAATAAGTCTGTAGAAAGAAACTAAGGTATTATTCTGGATTCGGGGTGAGTTAAATCTCACATTGAAAATGTCACTAAGACCGCTTTCTTTCACCTCATAAATATTGCAGGTTAGACCTCCTTACGTCGGTCTGCAAAAAGCGTTGACGCATGTTTCTGTTTTCTCGACGTTATACTAGTGTAATTCACCGGACTACCTAAACAATCGGCAGATAGGCTGCAGCTTGTTCAAAATGCTGCAGCCAGGGTACTTACAGGTACTAGGAAGAGGAACGTCACACCTATCATTAGACTGGCTGTGTCTTTTAGGATACATTTTAAAATTCTGTTGTTGGTTTTGAAAGCTGTTAACGGATTAGCACCATTATACCTATCTGATTACCTGGTCATCTGCAGCACATTCCAGCCCGTTCACTCAGATCATCTAGTGCTGACTTGTTTCACGTACCTAGAATGAAACGCAAAGAAGTGGTGAAGCAGCCTTTTGTTTTTATGCAAGTAAAGTTTGGAGCACACTACCACTACCTATTCCACAGACAGATTCAGTTAGTAGTTTTAAGAAGTAGCTAACATTTTTTAAATTACGCTTTTAGATAATATTTGACTTACTGTTAAGTTTTTTTTATCTTTGAAATTTTATATTGATATTTTATTATTTTTAATTATCTTTTAGCTTTTTATTTTTGTATCATTGCAACTTTTACTTTAATTCCTTGTCATTACTCTTCATGTCTTGTATTTCCTGTTGCTATTATTATTGTCGTTAAATTTCTTTTATTTTATGCTTTTATCTTATATTTACTATTTTTGTTATGTGTTTGTATCACGATAGTTTCTTTGCTCTCTAAAGCACCTTGAGCCGCATTTTAATTAATGAAACGTGCTATATAAAATTATTTTTTATTCTTCTTATATGTGACTGGGGATTTCTCCTTCAAACTAAAAAACACACAAGTTCGCATTATCTGCCAGAGTACAAAAGTTCATCCTCAAGACCGGAGCCTCCAAACTAATCTGACACTACGGCTCAAGCAAGATCTCGGGCGCCTGGCAGTGTTGTCAGTAAATTCCCTGGGGTTAGCGCGACACAAGAACCAATCCACATCGGCGCTCCAGAGGCTTAGAGACTTTTATTGAAAGCAACGCACAGAGTACAGCACACCCACACAAAGCTCGCACAAAGCTTCGGCTGTAGATTTCATCAAACGTAAAAGATAAAGGGATTCAAACAGAAGCTTCGCATACATGGTACAGAACACGAACTCTGAGCAGCAGGCAGGCAGCCGTGCATTAGCGCCTGGCGTTTCCTCAACCTGTTAATTCTGCACCGCAGGCAGCCCGTTGTGTGGCTCTGAGCACAGAAGCCTCTACATCACAACCCGCTTTCCCCTAAGCGCTTGTCGGCTCCTGTTAGGCACACAGTCATTCAAGCGGCGCTCAAGGAGCGAATTTCCGAAACCTCGGCTTTTCATCTGATCCTTTTCACCACATCACTGCTCCATTTCAGCAAAGCGAACTGTGGAATTTAAAAAAGCCCACTACATTTGCTCATTCTTGATCACCTCCAAGAGCCAGAGGGCCGCATCTTCTGCCAAAACGTTTGAAAAAAAAAAAGAAAGAAAAGGCAATCTCAGTGCTGTGAAATCAAACCCCCACAGTTCCACTGCAGGGAGTGTTTTATCTTCTCAGCGGTTCTGTGCCACACATCGTTGCTAAAATGAGCCACACTGTCAGGAGGAAAACTCCGCCTGTGGTGCACTCAGGGCAGTCACAGACGTTTGACACACAGCATCCTGAATTCTGGGGGATCCCATACAGAACCCCAGCTGGACTCCGGACCCTGGAAGCCCGGCGGGCCAGCATCACAGCACGACACTGACGTTGCAGTGCACGTGCACCATGATTGCACGGCTTGCCGCTGCTTGTGAGATGTACTACCATACCGATGTTCACTTGACACGCACTTGTCATTGTATTCTGGACACCACAGTCACTGTCTGCAAGGGGGCTACATTACACAAAGAGCCCATCCCAGCAGAGAAACACGCTGCCGCACTTGGATGTGTATAATACCCAGGTGTTTCCACATTATTTGCATCCTGCTCCTGTGGGGAAAAAGGTAAGCGAGTCACAGGCCCAGTCTTTCTTGGACAAAGACCTGGACAATTCTTCATGTTACAACCCATCATCTAAAAAAAATACAAGGGGTTCATGACGACATTCCACAACGAGTGAATTAATCTAAAAACAGTGCTGATCAGCTGCTCCCAGGTCAGATCACTCCAGTAGGAGCAGCTTTTGACTTCAAACTCAGAAGTACCCCCATCTGGACAGGTCAGACGCAAAGCAGGCTTATTAAGACAAACGTGGTCAAACCATTGAAATGGGATTGTGGAATCTGCTCGACTCACATTCAAAACATGTTGGTTTATGAAGGTTTTATTCACCCTCATAGAGCCTACAATTTAAACATCACGTTTAAAATAGGCAGGCCATTCAAACCTGCACAGACAGCAATGTTACCATCTTGTATCTTGATCTCATCAGATCTCAGAAGCCAGGCAGAGCCAGTCCGGTCACTATCGAGATGGGTGACCTTGTAAAGTAAAATCAAGGGGTTATAAACCAGTCAATCACTCTATGCTCTACACCTTGCTTAAGAAATTCTCTCACTGAAAACACCACTACTCCTTTAGGTCTGAACAACAAAAAATAAAGGTCAGTTGTTTTAGCAGAGCATTAAGCTACAGTATGTCTGAATAAAGAGTAAGAGGAAAAGACTTCGCTATAAATGAGGGTTATAGCTAAATCATAGCTAATATAATAATTGCTTGAAAGTGCCTAAGGGCTGTAAGCAGTGTCTCCAACTGGTCTCCGTGCAGGCGTACAGTCTGTCACACACAGAAGTTTGAAAGAGGGCCTGAAAAACCTGTGCAAACTTGAATCACATTTCATACGGCCCTGACAGTACAGCGGTATACAGACTCGCTGGCAGGCAGTGGCTATTTAAAAACGAGAACAGATACACAATCTGAAACAACTGAAAAGAAACAAACCCAGATGGCATAAGCAGACCCTGGTGCAGCTAGCATTGCGTTATGCAACAAACCCTGTGCCAACTACAGTCATCTCCCTACATTTAATATTTTAAGAATAAATTGGACAGTTTGGTCAGTTTAACCCACAACCACACACACATCAGTGCAAGAGTAGCATTGAATCTGGGAGGGAGAGGGGTGTGTGCCCTCCTCCTGTTCCATCCTGTAGCAGGGTTCCCTTCACTTAATGAGCCTCTAACTTCTTAATCAACACAATTACTTCACCGCCTTATTACTTAATTAACGTAATGGTTTAACAGATGCTTGGTCATTAACTTGACTCTTAATTTTTTAAAGGTTATCAAAATAACTAACTGGAACTGATGACTGCCGAGAGGAGACTTGAACAAAGGACTTGAACGCAGACCCACGCTGGGATGGAACAGGGACTGCCATACCCTGCGCAGACAGTCAGGTCAGGTGGTGAATTTCTTTTTTGGTAGGTAGGCGCTGGTGATCTGGTTCATGACGACCAGGGCAGGAAAGAGGGGCAGCAGTACGAAAACGTACCACACCACCCCTTTGATGATGCCCTGGAACCAGTCTGTGAACATGCCCGTCACCACGGTGACGGTGGCCAGCAGGTAGGCCACTAGGCCGCAGGTGGCATGGTAGAGCTTGAGCCGGGCCACTGAGGAGATCTGCAGCACCTTCGGGAACAGCAGGCAGAGCCCGCACAGCGCCTGGCACCCGGTAGCCACCAGGGTGCCCACGCCGATCAGGCTGTGCCAGGAGGTGAGGTGGGGCAGGCTGGAGACGTTCTTGCTGGCCACGATGAAGCCCAGTCCTGTCGCGCCGCCGATGACCACCAGGGCCTGCAGGAACCAGTGCACCCGGATCTTGCCCTTCCGGGACTTGAAGCAGAAGGGCGTGCCCTCCGGGGAGAACAGCAGGATGCCCTCCGTCATGCACAGGCAGAACTGGGACCATGGACAGACAGAGAGAGACAGAGGAAGGGGACTCAGTTCAGGTCATCACCTCCCCACGGTGCTCGCTCAGTTTCTGCAGCGTTATGGGGCAGTTTGAGTATGGATTGTACCAATTACAATTATTAAAACTGATGCTTAAATAACTTTAGTTTCCAAATCTGCAGGAACCTGAGGACTTAAGATTCACAGCATATCCTGCAGATCTGTGTTTTTTTCAAGGCCAGGAGCCGGGCATCAGTAACCTAACTGCTTCACAAATCCAAGCGTCCTCCTCACAGTTCATCCCAGGGAATCTAGACAGAGTCCAGTTGCATGCTCCTGTATGCTCCCTCCAGCACAACAGCAGATTGTAGGGCAGGGTCATGGGACGAGAGCAGCTCAGAAAGACACAAAAGGGTTCTTACAGCTCAGCAACATGAAACAAGGGAAAGACATGCTTAGACAGCGATTCTAAATTGAGCATGTGGCAATATCACTAAGAAGAGTCAGGTTTGCTAAATTTCTTGACACAAGAAAGAAGTGTTGTTAAGATACTCTTAACTACTTCTGTGTGACACCTCACACCTGAAACCCGTCACAGAGATTTACAGTACGTCGTTCACAGGGTTAAATGAAGGCTTGGACTAAGACAAGCAAGGTAAGCAATGTAAGAACATAGTCTGTCACATTGCATCCGTGCACACCTGCCCTGAATCACACTTTTCTCTCTTCTTCCCATCTTCTGTCATAATCAGGTTTTTCCTCAGATGTGCTGAAGGATTTAAACAGTGCCCTGCGGCAAAACCAACTGAGGAAAAAGACACGAGCTGAGGGATAATACTCTCTGTTCTAGAAACTTACCACTATGTACACTGTTCCAGTCTAAAGCGTAAGTACAGGACTGGACCTGGGACAAGAACAAAGGCTGTGTTTTAATAGCAACATATCGCATAATCCCAGTCCTCCCTGCAGGCAGGAGAAATCCCAGTCTAATCTGGGCTAATCCTGTGACACACCTTCTGTACTGGGAAGAGCAAAGCCGTGCCCATCCAGGGCAAGAACAGCCCAAGACTCTGCCTGCTTTTTAATTTCTTTATGGCGGTGAGGCAGCAGAATTTAGCTCATGCCTCTCAGGCATGTCCTGGAAAGACAAACCCTGACCAGATTCCTAGGAATCAAAGCTCTGGCTGGGAAAGGAAAAGCAGTTTTATTTGGAGACGGACAGGAAGTTCAAACACTGTCAGCAGAAGGATCCTACCACTGTGTTGACAGACATTTATGGCAGAACTGGTTAGAGAAACCTCATGCATGTTTCAAATATCAGAAAATTGAATTAACTCCTTGAAGGAAGAAGACGAAAACCATCTGAAGAGAAGAATCATATATTTCAAATAAGGCAGAGAACTCAGATGCACAGAAAGAAAACCAGCACAGACATCTCTCTTGCATAAGCCCTGGCACACTGTGCTCTCTGTAGGAGTCGTCAGTCATGCTTCCTGGAGCCTCCAAACAAACAAACTCTGAAAAGAAACCAATTCTCAGAGACAGCTGCAGAACAACGACTCCCCCGTTCCTGCTCTGTCATCCTCCATCTCGGCAGCTGAGCCACAATGGACTCCCTCTCCTCTGCAGGCTGCGTCCCAATCTGGGGCTCTCCTGTCTCTTGTCCCAAGACAGCACTGAAGCCCCTGAATGAGCCCTCCACTCTCTAATGTGCAACAGGCATTCCTGGCTCCCCCTTTCCTGACAAAACCTATTGAAGAAACACAGTGTTTCTGCACTTTTCCTCCTGGTTTTAGCCACATCCCACAATATCTCTTGATCTGCATCATCAAAAACAAGAACCTGCAGGTGTTGGGGGTCCCTAGGACCAGTAACAGGACTATAGGAGTGAACTGACTGGGGAACTGGACTGTGTCTCCAAAAGTGAACAGAACGGAGCAGCTGAGACTCTTTTTGACAGGTGAAGGGTGTTTAGATCACTGGTGCCAGAGTCCTGTCTTTAAGAGTCACGGGCCAGCAGCAAGTCCTGTGAAGCAGGACTCCTCAAATCTGGCTTCCGAAAGGAAGGGCTCAGCAGGTTTCCTAATTCTCCTGCTAGCAGCAGCACCACGGGACCTCAGAAGGAAGGGGAAATTAGCTCAATTAAGACTTAAATGGACTAATCTCACCTTCTTGCACAGGTCTGAAACTGCTAATGATTTCAGGAGCCACTCTCAAAACCATTACCTGCTCCTGCCCTTGGGAAACTGTCAAATTGGATCAGCTGTGCACAAAATTAGTCCAATTATCTCATTAAAAACACTCATGAGGAATGAAAAAGAAAGGACGTTCTGGCCCTGGAGAACTGGACCTCTGCAACACCGATGCAGAGAGTAAAGGACGTGAGTAAAGGGGATGTTACCACACGCTGAGCTTCCTTTGAAATAACTCTACAAGCATAAAAGGTTAGAGATACTTACTGCTAGAGCCATGCATGTGGGGTGCCAGGAGAAGAGACCTGGAGGAAAAGAAAAACAATGGAACAACCAGCAGGGCCCAGCGGGTACTGCACAGCAGACTCACTGCAGCAGCCCCTCTCACGTTGCACATTAACCCTCGCCACCCGCCCCCACCCCACACAGCAACCCTAGCTCGACTTGATTCTCGCCGCAGGCCAGGGGGAGACCAGCCGAGTCGAGACCCAGCCCGCTACCATAATTACCTTGTGCTCGCTGTCTCAGAGGGGTCACTGACTGGCAGTAAAGATCTGTATGTAATAATGCTAGACTACAAAAATAAATCTTGTTAGCCATTGTGAGGTTACATTTGAATCGGGCATTCTAATTTCAGAATAAAACAAATATTGAAATACACTAATAATAATAATAATAATAATACATTTTATGGTTAAATAAACGGTAGGAGTCATAACAGAATCTTCTGTGGTACACAGTGCTGTCTGTTATGCTCACAAACTCTAGACTAGTACACTTGTTATTTTTCTGTATATTACGTGTGTTTCTAAGCGCTATTCAAGAATCGTCTTTCAATGACATCATGATTCCGTTTACACTGTACCCCCAAAACATGTACAGATCAAGACGGAGTGGAAAGAGCACACAGCTGTACAACAATGACGACCTTATGATTTTCAATAATGCATGCGCTCCTTGTGTGTGTGTGGAGGGAGGGGTGTCTTTTGTCTTGTGCAGCCTATCTGTCTCAACCAACTAACTCGTCGTGACTGCGATCGTGTTGCATTTCGCTTTGTTCAGAGCGGCTTTTACATTTTAATTTGAAAGCACAGAAGACTATGTTTGACTGCTTTAATGGAGACAGAATGCATTATTGCTAATCAAAGATTAGCTAAAAAATAAAATGTACGTTAAAGTAAATTCATGAGTGAAATGTAAACGTTACTACAGTACACTACGTAACTACACTGGGAGTACGTTATTAAAGCCCCGAGGGTCTGCCACAGACTGGCACGGGTCTGCATACACAGCACGTACGAAATTTAAGAAGAAAAAAACACTTAAATTTATGTATTCTGCCTGAACGCTAAAAAACAGACATTACCGTTGAATCTACATGACAAGCCAAACAACAAGGAAGGAATGGGTATCTTGGAGCAGTAAATAAGCTACTGGATTTTCTACACAGTATTTGAGCTCCAAAACGCAAACAGACGTTGGTTTCTCGGGCAGTTCTGGAAGTTGTTCAGCGAGCGCGCTTTTACGCACCGCAAACCCAGCGAAACCAGTTCCGTCAGTTACAGGAGTTGTCAGCATTGCACACCTGAGACTCGATGGATTCATTAACCGAGCGATAATACTGAACCAGAGATCGGGAGTTTGGAAGACGAATGAGAAGGGCAATTTAAAATAAAACTTACTGGTCCCAGTGCGGGATAGCAGCGTCACGAATACCGTGAAGCCCAGGGCGACGACGTGCGCGGTGATCACCGACACCTTCCTCAGCCAGGCGTAGAGCCAGAAGTCGCCCATGCCCAGCCCTTCCCCCGCCGGGCTGTACTGTCCGCTCACCTGCATGGACGCGGACACGGATCAATTACAGCCTGCTCTGCATCCGAGCTGGCAGGGGAGCTGGGCGCGTCGCCCGTCTCTTGGGCCACAGGGAGCAGCTACATCTGCCCCAGTCTCTCAGGCTGGTCTGCCGTTTCGCTACGTCTCCGGCTTCAATCGCTTCGCTGTGTTGTTTTAATTCACCTCTGGGGCCTGGAGTCACCGCCGGGCTGCTTGCTTCACCTTAATGTAGCCAGTCTCAGCTCAGGACTGCCTCTTCTCAACAGACACCCCTACAGGAAAAGCTACTGTCGGAGGCGGACAGCATTGTGCCCCGATTTGTTTACAGTCTGCTTGCCTGCGTGAATGTCAGAGCTATTGTCAGGCTTTAACAGAAGGCGCTGCGAAACAACAGATCCCCACCACACAGCACCTCTAAACTCGGAGGGACGCCAAAGCGACCTTTTCTCTCCCTCGCCGATCAATCCGGGCTCTTACACAGGCTATCTTTACATTTGTAATCGCCTCCGTCCTGCGGCTGCTGAACAACCTTCTTCTGCAAATTCCTGCCTCTCAGGGGTGTCTCTTTTCCCCCTCCTCTCTCCGGCTACGGCGTGTTGGCGCCTGCTGGGTCTTTGCTGAGCTAATTTCTGCGTACCTGACACACAATCCCTCCATCAGGTGGCAGTTTGCATCCACTTCCTGGATACGGGTGGGAAGGGCTGGCGAGGTGACATCTCGTCTCGGCCGCTGCTTTTAAACAGCGACGTAACAGTGAGCGCAGGAGCGGCCCCAACGCGAGAGACATCTGCCGACGACATTAGTATCCTCCCCCCCCCCCTCCCGGCGAGACGCGCGTGTCTGGGATCCTCTGGCAGGGAAGCATCGCCCTCGATTCGGGATTCAGTGCGCGATTTTGGTTGCGGCTGCGTCAACATTGACGGCAGGTCGGAGGATGTTGGAACAGATCAGTTCAAAGACGACTTCGTCCTGAGCCATTTCCCACTTAATACAAATGCAATTAACAAATTGACTTGTTTACAAAGATATTGTTTCTTATATATTTACTTAAAATCAGTCATGTCCAGGATTAAACTCCGACATACACTTAACTACGGCAATTCTTGTTCTTTGGTTTGTAGGTGGCTGGGCATTAAGTGACTTTTGAAATAGAAACGTTTTCCAACTGCTGTGGTAGGATTTTGTCTCTGCCCCGAATATCACTGAAATTATTAACAGCGGATGGCAAAATGTATTTCCAGTAAATACATCCACTTGCTCAGAAACATGGCCTTTGGGAGATTGTTGCGGCCATGAGGACAGCCGTCGCCTGGTGATTTAAGAGACCCTGGGCCTTCAGTCTGCCCTCACACTCCTCGCTGTGGGGTGAAACACGCCGGGCATACTGGACCAGTGGGGATCCCAGATCTGTCCAGCATGCCCGCCGCCCACGTTCTCCTCTTCAGATGAGGTGGGATGTTCACCCGCAAGGGAAAACAAGGACCACTCCAACATCTTTAATGGCAGTCTTTCAGGCCAGGGAGTGATTTGAGAATTCAGGTGCTCCTGAGGGGGATGTGTCCCTGCTGGTTCCTGAACTCACTGCGGTGTTCGGGTGGGTCATTGTGGAACACGAGACGACATTTTCATGAGGTCTGTAGAAACGCAGGGCTCTTTAATCCAGCTATGTTAAAAGGGGGGGAGGGGAGAGGTTTCTAAATTACACAAAGGACAGATTCATATGCTTTTAGGATATTTTAATCCATTTTTATTAAGTCAACTTTTCGTTTAGCAGCATAACAGGTAAATCTTGAGGTATTTTCTATATTTAGAAAGAAGTCATCTCGCACAACACCATTCACACACACTCCCACTCACTCTCATTAGCACACACACACTCTCACCCACCCACTCACAAGAACACAGTCCCAGGCCCCTGTCCACACACACACTCACAAGCACACAGTCCCAGGGCCCCTGT